AATGGTGCGACAATTCCACTGAATTATTTGAGACTGATCCATTATTGTTGCTGTTTAGAGATTGATTTGCAGTAAAAGTGGCAGTGTTGGACGGTATAGAATTTTCAGATAATACTTGAGAAGATTGAAGAAGAAAATTTACAAGGGTGAGAATTAAATCACGAGTTGACAAGTTTTGAAGGGAGTTGAAATTACAACTTGTTCCAACTGTTGGTAATGGAATGTCATATTCATTGGTTAATTTCGCATGAGCATTTTTTTCAAATCCTTTACCAAGCTGTACAGGAGCTTTAGGCTTTAAAAAAACTGTTTTTTTGTAAGATTTGTTAACATTTTCTGGCTTTGGATTCAAGACTTTCATTTGTGATGATGTAGTAGATATTGGAGTAGACAAAACATCAGAATATGATCTACCAATAGGAGGATGTAATTTCTGAGCTTCTGCATATGATAGACAACTTTTGGCCATGGTTTTTTAATACATTTTTGTTTAAACTCTGGGCATTTACGGTTAGTGGCAAAATGTGATCCAGAACAAAGGCAACATGTAACATTTTCTTCTTCAACATTGCAACTGTCACCAGAGTGACCATTACCACATTTGAAACAACGGGGAGAAGACCTACATTGTGATTTAATGTGACCATATCGACAGCATTGAAAACATTGTATAGTTGGATAAATGTAAAGATCAAAAGGTAGAGAATTATAGCATAAGTATACACATTTTGACAAGACTTGGCCGTCAAAAGTGAGCACTACTGTTTCAATTGGAATGTAACTTGTAGTGCCATTATTAATTACTTTTTTATTTAATCTTCTTAACTTAAGAATAGCTCCACATCCAATGGGTACATTGATAGTTTTTAGAATCTCTTCCTCTGACCAGTCTGTAGGAATTCCCCTCACAACACCCATACGAGTAATATTGTTAGTGGGAATGAATGATTTAAAATTGTTCTTTATTATTTCAGAATTATTTAAGAATGAGTTAGCATCTTCAAAATGGCTAAATGCAATTAAAAGTCTGTTTCTGCCAATGCGCTTCAAGCTACCGTTAACAATATTTTTAATTGAGTGCTTTTTTAAGAACTGTCCAAAGGAAACTGGGTGGATTGATGCTTTATTATTCGGATTTTCTTGAATCTTTTGGATGTGAACAATAAAAGGAGAGGCATCTGATGACTGATAAAAAACTCTACCTATTGGCTGCTGTGCTGAATCTTTGTTAATAGAAGATTGAGTAAATTGTGATTGAGACACTGAATTTGGAGAAGAGATTGGAAGTGAATTAGTTTGCATTGGCGTACTAATGGGTGCAGAAGAAGCAAAATCGCATTTACAATCTGTTTCAGAACAATCAATTGAAGATTTATGATGTTTCCTCTTTTTCTTATTACAGTGTTTGCAAATCTTACTGGCATGAGTTCTTTTTCTTTTAGAATTAGTTCTGGGGTTAGAACAATCCGAATCTAGTACAGATCCCTCTGTATCTAAGCCGGAATTAAAATCCACAGTAATTATAGTCGACACCTGGGGGCCACAGCCCCCAGAGTCGTCTGGATCAAACATAAAATTAAATTCAAATTAAAACTATAACTTACCAACTATAACATGAAAAATACAATATGTACACTAAATAGATAAAAATATTAACACTATATTACCCAACTGATCAAATTTACATTAAAAATATAATTTTATAAAATATTTACGACCAACCAAACCGAAGTTTCCCGCGCTTTTTTCTCTGTGATTGATAATTACAACATTACAACAGCCAGCTGCTTTCACAGATTACTAAGATTATGGCTACGTTCAAAAACTACGCTCCAAAATATTATTATACATTATTATGGTGGTTTTCCAATTACAGAGCATAATGCGACTTAGTGGCGCACAATACCGAATTATGCTGATGCTTAATTGGAACGTGGATTAGTTTTCAAATGCAGCAGAGTGCGCTAAGTTCAGTGTTGAAAAAAAAAAGTCAATGTTTGTCCCTTCATCCATATTTATATTTAATTTTTTAACACAGTTTGAATTAACTTTGATTATTTAAAAAAAAAACTATAATGAAACGAAAGTTTTAATAATTTTTCAACAGTAAATAATATTACTAACGATAACATATAAATAAAACATTTCGATCAATGCCAACTTAAAGAAAAAACACTTGTTAATTTTCTGTCTCTGAGTTGGTACGATTGCACGCATCACACGAAAGCATTACTTTTGAGAGTGCTCGATTGTGCGAAGCGTTGCTGTAGTTGAAACACTCAAGGTTAAACATTATGCCGCATATGCGCTTTAATGCTGTAATTGGAAAGCTACCTATAGGTGCGACAAATTGTCAATAGGCTAGTTGACCCTTTTTGGAAAAAGGTTTTAAATGGTTAATAAATGTTCTACCAGACCGCAAAAAATGTATTGTATTTTTTTGAGACCTAGAAAGCTACAAATCTTTAATTTTAAAATAAATTTTTCATGGATATACAAAAACGCTGTCGGCCATTTTAGTCTATAAATTATCTATGCTATGACGTCGACGGTAGTAAACAAAAACTCGTAAGCACGTAGAAAATAACTTAACCGAGTTTATAATAAAAAAAACATGATTTCTAATAGATAGCACGAAAAATAAAGTAATTATCATTATTGTATTGTACGAGAATGTAAAAACACATCCTTGAAGACCTTACAAAACAGACCAGAGACAAACTAACCGTTCACCTCGAGACAGAACAATCTTTAAGCAGTTCACCTAAAAGACGGTCATGGTATCGATTTTAGCAGTCCTGCTTATAGCCTGCTTTTCAACTGAACGGCATATGGATGGATTCGTATTTGCTCATGGTAAGCCTCCAGGAAAGTTGTGGATTAAAGTGCCGAAAGAATTTAACCTACGCAATACCTGTTAGAACTTGCTAAAAGTGAGTGATTTTACTTGAGTAAAATTTATTTTTGCGAAGATCGCTTTGATATAAGTACTTACTTATTGAGAGTTTTCCATTTAGAAAAAAAAGTCTACACTGTGTTGCACTGTGTCGACGAACACTGTGGTAACACTTTAACCAATGAAAAGTATTGCAGTTACCAAGCCTTAGTTGGCATTAGGTTTTTGCTATAGTATCGTCGACACAGTGCAACACAGTGTCGACTTCTTTTTCTAAATGGAAAACGCTCATTGAATTATATTTTAAGTCTCTTCATTTATTATCAGTTTTAATAATACAAGTTTTAAAGTTATGTATGAATGACATTTAGTTGTTTACTAAAAGAGACGTCACAATCATGGCGGATGTGGCGAACAGCGTTTTTAGTATTTACAAAGTATAGACTAAAAATTTTTTTTTAAAATTAAATTTCTACAGCAATCTTCTGCTTTAATGAAGTGAAATCGATATATTTAGGTTACTTAGAACAAATACTTTAAGAAATAAACATTTATTTAATACAATTCAACATGAGTCAACTAGCCTATTTTGACTTGACCTTCCTCATTTTATGTCCAAATCTTACTCTTTCATAGAATCACAGTTAAAAAAAAAACAAACATTGGGTGCGTTTAGCCGACAAAAAGGCTAAGCAGCATAAAAGGAAAAATGGCGATTGCTAAGTAGTACCAGAAAAAAAATATAAAAAAACGACGGGTTGCACTCCGGGAGTGGCGGCAGAAGTGAAAATTTAAATATTAACGTTGTGCATTTTTGATATTTTGGAATGGCTAGGGAATAATTTTGCACGAATTGCTTTAATTATTTGCACTAAAAAGTTTATCTCTCAGAAAAATCAACTTACATGAATCACATTCAAGCGCATCTAGCGACATCTTTTGTAAACAAAATGCATTTTCTGCGCAATAAAGCTGCCACCTGGACGTCCTAGATAGACATTATTATAATACGATAAAATAGAATATTACTATGTTTCGTCCAATGTATCGAAAGTTAACAACCTTTCCAAGTTTATTGTTTTCGTCTTACGAATTTTCGATTAGGTCTTTACTTGTCCGACGCGATCAGGCCACGTGTCCTGACGCGAGTTTATAATTTTTTACTCATACAAAAAAAAGTGTACAACGCCGCTAAAGAAGTTTTCACTTCAATAACAAAATAATAATAATTTGATTTTTAAATTGTACCTTCATCCATACCATCCATACTTATATTTATTTTTTAACATAGTTTGAATTAACTTTGATTATTTAAAAAAAACTACAGTGAAATGAGAGCTTTAAAAATTTTTCAACAATAAAAAAATTACTAAATCTATATATATAAAAATGAAACTCGTTTTCCGTTGTCACGACATAACATGAAAACGGCTTGACCGATTTGGCTGATTTTTTTTTGTAGTTTTCTAATACTCTGTACAAGGTTCTTACGAAAAAAAATTTAAAGAAAATCTCTCAGAAAGATTGAAAATATAACGTAACGAATGTTAACGTCATTCAATTTAAAACAAAAAATCTGTGGTAATCTGTTACACCACATCGATTCCAGTTCAAATTGAATAGGTACTCATACATATAGGTCAGCTATACAAAATAAAGTAGTGCATCAAAGCTACGCTAAGGGTGCGGCCAGAGTGCACTCAGATTCAGATTCAGATTCCGAAAACAAGCGCGAGAAATAAACAGTGTAGTCGAAGGGTACGGCCAGAGTGCACTCCTGATTCCGATTCAGATTCAGACTCAGAAAACAAAGCGCGAGAAAAAGCAGGCAACCTGCTTAGACTACACTGTTTATTTCTCGCGCTTGTTTTCAGAATCTGAATCTGAATCTGAATCTGAGTGCACTCTGGCCGCACCCTAAGGCGGTACGAAGTTCGCCGGGTCAGCTAGTATATTAAATAAATAAAACATTTCGATCAACGCCAACTTAAAGAAACAAGTCTTGTTAATTTTCTGTCACTGAGTTGGTACGATTGCACGCATTACACGAAAACATTACTTTTGAGAGTGCGAAGCGTTGCTGTTTCGTTCAGGTTTAGAACGTACCCCAATTCCCAACTGTCATTTGTCAAATTGTCAATGTCATTTGTCAAAAAAATCTGTTCCTCGCCCTCGCCGTTTGATCGTTTCATCCCTGTTTTTTATATCTACGACGTTAAAGAAATTACTTTTTTAGCGACATACCTTGTCCTAACGCGCTGTACTGTGGGTGGTAACGCGGACGTACAATTCGAAACATTATTTTTTTCTAAATAAGATTTCCCCATACCTACATTGTGTTCAAGTCTGTGATATTCGTAATTTCATTTAAAATTCTAACCATGCCTGATACGTTCACGTGTATTACCTGCCAGGTGATATTCAAAACACCTGAACTGCAACGTGAGCATTACAAACTAGATTGGCACAGGTATAACTTAAAAAGAAAAGTAGCTAACATACCTCCAGTACCTTTGGAGGAGTTTGAAAAAAGGGCACTAGAGCATAAAGAGCAGTCTAAAAACGATCACCAAAGTACAGCGGAATATTGCAAGTATTGCTCAAAATTATTCAATACTAAAAATGCTTATTCCAACCATTTAAACAGCAAAAGGCATAAATTAGCTCAGGAACAATATGTGGATGAAGAACATAGTGGCCATTCAGATACAGATAGCTTTGTGAAGGTTGAAGCAAATCAATCATCCAAACAAGCGACTGGAAAGTTTGTTGTGCTTAACCCTGATGATAAAGAAGAAGAAGAAGATGTCGAAACTGATTCTGAAATTGAAGAGGTAAGAGGTTCTAAATTATAATTTTCTAATATTCCTGGCTAAAGTAGAGGCTCAGCTTTCCATTATATGTAATTGAGTTGCAAGCTGAAATTTTTGTCACGCAAAGTATTAACTATTATAAACACGTACACGAAATCTTTTAAGGCGGAAACGAATAGAACTCGAGAAAAAAAATATTGAAAATTAATGTTTTTGTAGGTTATGAGTCAATTTTGACAGAAATTTTGATCAGTGCTGCCATTTTTTTATGCAAAAATAACATGTTTCTCGTTGTCTATGGTAAATATAAGTTTATTAAGTTGGTGCTATTGTCAAAATGTGACAATTTACCGCCATTAATGAGATCTGTCAGTCAGTGTTTGTGTTCGTCACAATTGAGAGCTTTTTCGTACTCCTGTTGATATTAACATCGTCTGACTACCATGGCATCCTCAAAGCCTTCGGCCTCGAGTTCTGCTGTCCCTTCGCCTGAAGAGTCGAGTGTAGTGCGAGTTTTGGACTCTAATGAGCCGCTTGTGTGGTGATACTTCACACTAGGTTAGGTTAGGTTAGTGTTGTGACCTTAACGCGCGAGCCGAGCGAGCGAAGCGAGCGTGCCGCGGGAGCGGCCGGCGAAGCGCCAGAAAGAAAAATTCGTTAATAGAGACTCTTTCTACAAAAAAATCTAGGCCCTGGAAGTACAGTTTTACCTTTAAAACCCCTCTAATTTTTTATAAATATCATTTCTGTAAAAAAAACGCCGGGAGGGGGGGGGGTTACCCTTCCCTCTGAGGAGTCTTCCCTTATACCTATCCCCCTGAAATTCCACTACATTTAACAGATTTAATGAATTTTTAGGTTAGGTAAAAAAAAAACTGCATTTCCGCCAAAAATCTTTTATGGCGGGGTTGTCGGGGAGAGCCCCCCCTCCCCCTCCCCTACAAATTACCCCAAAATTCGATTACATACAATGGAATTAAGTACCATTTATTATTTCATAATATTGTTTTAGATTCATTAACAGAAAATAAACCTGATTTTAATTGTTACCCTTAAACTTTTGTTTTTATTACAGTCTTAATTTATTTTTATCAATAATTAAATTGAACTGTGATGATGAGTAGAATAAAATTTCAGGTAGACATGTAAATAATTTGATCAGCTTCGTCTTTTTAATGTTGCCTTGTGTTTAATTTCTTAACAAATTCTCTATTGGTTTAATAAATATTTAATAAAACAATATGTACTTATATTAAATATTGTTCTATATTGAATATGGATGATATAATATCCTTATTAATCTTTATGCATTTTTATTTATAGCTTGATTCTGATGAATGGGAGGAATGCCGAATAAAAGGCACTGATTCTCTAATCAAGCCTAGAGAATGTCTATTCTGCACTCATCGTAGCAAAAACATGGTGAAGAATCTGAAACATATGTCAGAAGCACATTCCTTCTTCATTCCGGATGTGGAGTACTGTGTTGATGTAAAAGGGTTGCTTTTATATTTAGGAGAAAAGGTATATTGAAATGTAACTTTTCAATTATGATGATTTATAGCATTATTCTATTCAAATATAAAAATAATTTTGTACATGTGTGACAATATTTGGAAATTGTTGATAACTTCATGAAAAGTGGGTATTTTGCATTCTACACATATACCCACTTTTACAGAATTTGCAGAATTTGCAAAGGGACCAGAGTGTTTTTGGGGCATCCCTAGAAACAATGCTATGCAAAGTCATAAGGATAACTTTCCAAGCAAAACCAAAAAATACTGGTTGGATTAGAGACACTACATACCAATGTATCTGCTGAAGTGTAAAATACCAAAACACAATGTGAATGTGGGTTTCTAATCCATAAATGAAGTATTCACATAGGATGACATGATATGCCCAGAGCAGGGCCATAGCTAGGAGGGGCATTATGGGGCAATGTCCTATCTTAAAATATCCTTTACTAGGCCCTTCCCTAACAAAAGCCACTATTTACATTGACTTTGTAAGAATAAGGTAATTCATATTAAGTTAATGTCTATAGTAGTTTCTTTGGGGTGGGTTAGGTTGGGGTGTGCAAATCCTGCTTTATGCTCTAATTACAGGTAATTACAGGTAGAGACCTCTAATTACCGCTGTTCTATCTTAAACACACCTCTGGCTATGGCCCGGACTCAGAGCAAATAAAATCTTTTAATTTAGAAACAATTTGAGCTTCTTAAATATCTTCTTTCAGTCTAAAAGAGATACTTCGATTTGATGCCAAGTCCGAATAGAAATTTTAGTTTGCAATGACTACAGTTCCAATGAGGACTGCATATCCCCAAAAATCTGAAATAATAACATTAAGTACAACACAATTTCAATTAAATAAATATTTCCAGATTTCACAGGGCTTTATGTGCTTGTGGTGCAATGATACTGGACGCACATTTTATTCTATGGAAGCAGCACGGGGTCACATGGTTGACAAGGGCCACTGTAAAATGTTGCATGAAGGAATTGCACTTGCTGAATACGCTGATTACTATGACTACAGGTTAGCGTATGATTTTTCTAGTTCAGTTCAGTCATTGAACTCTTAGTAAAAAGGTGGCTACTGCTGTAATATTGATTGCTGTATCTTTGAGTAAACTCAGCAGCTGTTAGTAACACAGAATATACAAAAGAGATTGCATGAAATCCCCCCCCATAGGTCTGGGATTATCTTTTTGTTCAAACTATTGTTTAATATTAATTAAAAACAACACAAACACATTAATTACACCTCAACAATACTCTACTAGTTAAATGTTATGGATCATTGGTTTATTTTATAATTCTAGACTTAATATAATTTGAAATGTAGTTAATTACTAAATGCATTTATTTTTTGTTATCACCCAAATACATATTTAAAATAATTCATTTATACATAACATTGTAACGTGTTAAAAACGTCACATGGATCTCCTTCGCTCGAAGAGCGAGATACAAGATTTTTTTGGTTGTCTCTCTGGTCGTTTTTATCTCGCGCCCATTTTGTGTAATCTGTGCACTTTTGAATAATTATGTTGCTAAATTTATCGAGCAGTAGGCTGAATGGTCGTTGTTCTCTTTGCCTACCGCCAAGACAAACTTAAGAAAAGAACTGTCACTTCACTTCACGACCAAAATTTTTACGAGAAACATGTAAAAATCGTAATCGTAATTTGTCACATGATAATTCATTAGATTGTCAATTATTTTTTAATGGTAAGTGTTTTTCCAAATTCGAAAAGTGTTTTAATTCATATATTTCAATGATTTACATTAGGATTCATTTCATTTCTTTTTCAGATGAAACATTTTACATCATCCATACAAAATGGCGTTGATGATGCTTTAAGCTTAATTTAATTGAAAAAACGGTAAGAACCTTAGAGTTCCCTTAGATTTATATTTTTCCTTTGTTGTGAGCCATGTGCTAATCTGAGGAATGTTCGTTTTCAGCGAAAAGCGTTTTTTTTTATATTTGAAATTTTATTTGGAAATCGTATTCAAATCACGATGTTTCCCGTGATGTGGAGGTGAACCCACGGGACCTAACAACGGCCATCCCTTACATATTTGCAACACCAGACATACATAACTCCAAAGATGCAGCAAAGTCGGTAATATTCAAATTTATGGTTGTACCAGCACCCATATTAAAGGTAAATTTTCATTTAATTCTTGGTAGTCATAGTGTAGAATAGTTTCTAAATTTAGCAGTAACCCTTTTGGACGTAAGTAATTTTGCAGTAAATTTAAATAAAATTACAAACCCAAAATGAACATGGATTTGCGTTAAACTCCCTTGCTATTAATAGTCCAATGTTTTCCCGGCTAATATGGTATAATAATGTGGTAGGTCTGGCGCCCGAGTATTCTATTTAATTAATTTCGACCTATCCATTTAAAGTAATTTTCACAACAAACTTTTTATTTTTTAATATTACAATTGACGCCAGCGCACAGGGACTTGGTTTATGCAATCCATTTCATTTTGTACCTATAATAGTAGTTTTGTCTGGTTGTTTGTAATCTTTATTATTACATTTGTGATATAATATAACTTTTGTACTTGAATTTTGATACATAAACATAGATTTTGTTTGTAATATAATTACAATTTAACTTAATGTTTTGGATGGTTCGTGTTAATATTAACTTTTCATTTAACTACTTGTTTTGAACTTTATTTCATATTTGAAATGTTCTATAGACGTCTGTAGTGATGCATCACATAATATTTACTACTTTTGTATGTTAATTTAGTATTTTGCACATGCAAATTTCTTAGAATTTACTTAACTCGTTAACAATTATTTGGTTTCTACCAATTGATGCATATTGCATATAACTTAAACTTTTATTACCTTGTTAACTATGATCATTGTGTTATTGTTTTGTTATTTACATTTGAATATGCAAATTTACAAAGCTTTTTGCTATATATATATATAAAAAATTAGGACTTTTTGTTCGAACGTTTTGATAATTTTTAAAATGTTTTGTGAACATTATTTGAAATTTATACAAGTTTCTTAATGATAAATATAACTGTTCCACAACTTGTTTTGAGCTAGTATATACATTGTTTAAATAAAACATAAACAATAAAATTTAACTTTTATAAATAATAACATAAACTTAAAATAATTCAACATTCTTTGAAAAAATAAAACTAGATATTTTGAAATACTTTCATAACTTAATGAAGCATTGTTTATATAATAATAATAATAAACTTAGTCATAATAATATTGTAAAATAACTTTTGATGTTGTTGTAACTTAGATATTTTGACATTTTGTCACAAACTTATTTCAGTTAAGGTTAATATGTTTTTATATTAATAATTTTTGTAAATAATTCAATTTAGTTACATAACATAACTTAAGATTTAAATATCTTTCACCAATTGTAAACTTGCTGCATCTTGCTTTATCCTTTAAAAAGATTTAACTTTAAATTTACTTTGCGTTAACTGCGTTTATAATTTCACTGCTATTTTGGCATTTTTCAAAAATGGAAGGTGACAAACTTGCATTATCTGCTGCCTTGCCGCCTAAGGAGCAACCTGTTTCTGTTGCAACTGATACTAGTGATTTAGCTTATCCACCTGCTACACAGCACATTGCACATGAATTAATTAATTTAACAATTGATCAACCCACTTTGGATGATCATAATTTTCATTCATCACGATTGCTTGATTCACAACCTGCTTTACAACCGACGACCACACATGCTTCACATGTTAGCACTAATTTGTTACAAAATAATACTTCACTTTTGGATAATTTTAAAAAACCTACATATTACAAACGTCCTGATCTTTCGAAGAGTAAGATAATTTTTGACGGTAAGTCTTGTGTTAGAGAATTTATTACTAGTGTTGAAGAGTATATGGTTTCCAGAGATATCGATGAATATTTTGTTGTTACTTCCTTTTCAGATTTTTTAACTGGCATTGCTAGGACATGGTTTCGTATTGTTCGTTCAAATCTTAATTCTTGGTATACCCTTAAGGTTGCATTACTTAAACATTTTGACAAACCTGATTATGATGATCGGCTTGAATATCTTTTGCGTTCTCGTAAACAAAAACCTACTGAAACTTTGTCAGATTTTATCATCGAGTTGCAGGATATGTCTTTGCGTCTTTCGGATCCACTTTCGGAACAAACCTTAATTAAAATTATTAGGCGTAATATGTTGCGTTCTCACGCCGTATATTTTGTTGGCAGGAACATTAGTTCTATTGACCAAATTTTTAGATTAGATAAAGAAATTAAAGAACTTGTTTCGGATAGCTCTTCTGTTCAATCTGTTTCGCGTGCATCTTCTCCTAAAGTTCATTTTGTAGATTCCAAAACTGATAAAAAATTAATTTGTTTAAAATGTAAAAATTTTGGACACACTTACAAAAAATGTTTAAGCATTCCTGGTCCAATTTGTTTCAATTGTTGTAGGCATGGAGTGACTATTCACACATGTGACTGCAAAAATAAAAAAGTAGACGCCAGCGAACCTTTAGCAAACAAAATTAAATTTTCTGAACCAGTTCCAAAAAACTCCACAAAATATTATTGGAAGTATGGACTTACCTGTGACTTGTGATGGAGATACTAAAATTATTTCATTTATGGTTATACCTTCGTTTAAACCAAATATAATTCTAGGTTTTGATTTCTGGTTAAAATTCGATTTAGCTAAAGATTTATTTAAACATATTGCTTTTGTTGATGAAAGAGATGTCAACGTTTGTTCTGTTACATCTGCTACTAACTTGTCTCCTTCTGAGAGTGAACAATTAAATAAAGTTGTTGAATTATTTAAAGATATTTCTTATGAAAAGAATGGTTTAGGCCTTACTCATTTAACTGAACATAAAATAGTTACCATTGGCGATCCTATTAAACAACGTTATTACCCTTTGAGTCCTGCTAAGCAGAGAGAGGTTTATAACGAAGTTGAATTGATGTTAAGGGAGGGAATAATACAACCTTCGAAGTCTCCTCGGAGTTCCCCTGTTTTAACTGTTCCTAAAAAGGATGGAGGCATTAGACTTTGTTTAGATTCAAGAAAATTAAATTCAGTAACTGTTAAAGATTCTTATCCTCTTCCTTATACTTCTTATATTTTAGATAACCTTAGAGGAGCTAAGTTTATTAGTGCAATTGATTTATCTAAAGCTTTTTTGCAAATTAAATTAGATCCCGCTTCGCGCGAGAAAACTGCATTTTGCATTCCCGGTAAAGGACTCTTTGAATTTATCCGAATGCCCTTTGGTCTTTCTAATGCACCTGCTGAACTGCAAAGACTTGTAGATAGATTGTTTGGTCCTGAATTCGATAAGAATACCTTTTGTTATCTTGATGACTTAATCTGCATTTCTGACCAATTTTCGGCCCATTTAGACCTTCTTGAAAAAGGTATATAAAGTTTTAAAAGATGCTGGTTTGACAGTAAATCTAAAAAAGTGTGAATTTTGTAAAGAAAGATTACGTTATTTGGATTATGTAGTTGATAGTAAAGGTTTACACACTGATCCTTCAAAATTAGATGCTATAGAAAATTTTCCTCGTCCTAAGACTGTAAAACAACTTCGTAGTTTTTTAGCTCTTTGTTCGTATTATCGTAGATTCATTTCAAAATTTGCGGATATAGCTTCACCCTTAACTAAATTGACTGGTGGAAGCAAAAAGATAAAAACAAGTCTTGAATGGAATGATGATGCTGAAGGATCTTTTCAAAATCTTAAGAATTCTTTAATTACCGCACCTGTGCTTGAATGTCCAAATTTCAAAAAACCTTTCTTTTTGCATTGTGATGCTAGTTCTGTTGGTATTGGTAGTGTTCTGAGTCAAGAAGATGATAACGGTGATCAACATCCTATTGCTTTTTATTCTAGATCTCTTAATAAGTGTGAACGTAATTATAGTGTGACTGAGAGAGAACTTTTGGCAATTTTAGATTCTATTGAACATTTTAGGCCGTACATTGAAGGAATGAAGTTTACCGTAGTAACGGATCATGCTAGTTTAAAATGGCTTTTAAATTTAAATAATCCTTCTGGTCGCTTGGCTAGATGGGCTGCTAGAATTTCACAATTTACATTTGATATAATTCATAAAAAAGGTTCTTTGCATGTAGTTCCTGATACTCTTTCTCGTTATGATATAGCTGCGTTGACAGTAAATTCAAATCAAATTGTTTCGCCTAACGATGACATCGTAGATCCTTGGTATAGAAAAATTTTTGTCAATTGTCAAAAATTCCCTTCTAGATATAAAAATTTTAGAGTAGAAAATGATACTTTGTATAAATTTTGTAAATCAAAATATAGCGTTAATAATAATTTAGATTGGAAAATTGTTGTTCCAAAAGAACATATTTTAGATTCTATTAGAAATAATCATGATGATTTAAATTCGAGTCATTTAGGAATTCATAAAACTTTGCATAAAATAAAACTACATTACTTTTGGAAAGGTATGTTTAATGATGTTCATAAATATATTAATAGTTGCGATATTTGTAAAGCTTATAAGCATTCGACTTCTAAACCACTTGGAACTATGATTAATCCAAAAAAGTAGATAGACCTATGGTAATGTTAAGTATGGACTTAATTGGAATCTTACCCAAAACTTATTCTGGTCATAAATTTATATTATCTGTAGTAGATGTTTTTACAAAATATTGTTGGTTATTTCCTTTGGCTAATGCAACGACTAGATCAATGTGTAAGTTCTTAGAAAAAGATATCTTCCTTAAGTTCGGATGTCCAAAAATAGTTGTATGTGATAACGGTACTCAGTTCACTTCTAGAAATTTTGTAGATTTTCTTAAAGGTTTTAATATTGATAGAATATTCTATAATACTTTATATACGCCTCAGAATAATCCAGTGGAGCGCTATAATAAGACGGTTGAAACTTGCATTTCTTGCTTCGTTCGTAATGATCATAGAACTTGGTCGAAATTTCTACCACATGTTCAGTTAGCTTTGAATAGTAGTGTTAATTTGGCTACGGAGTTCACTCCGAATTTCCTAATGTTTGGTAGGGAGTTAATTGTTGATGCGTCATTGCACCGTTTTAGTAATTCCTTTGATAATTTAACACAGATCGATCTTTTTGACCGTTCTGCTTTTGCTCATTCACTTTCCTCACTTGAAAGTATTTTTGTTAAAGTTACTGGAACTTTATTTAAAGCATATAAACGTAATGCTTCTTATTATAACAAGCGTCGTGAAGTCACTTCTTATGATGTAGGTGATATTGTTTGGAGGAGGAATTTTGTTCAATCTAGTGCTGCTCATTATTTTTCGGCAAAACTAGCTCCGAAGTTTATTAAATGTAAGATTATTGATAAAATTTCTAATAATGTTTGTTTTAAAAGATTTGGTTAAAGGTACTTCTGGTCGTTACCATGTTAAAGACATTTTGAAAATTTAGATTGCTTAGCTATTGTTTGGTTAGTTTTGTTAAACATAAACAAACCTTTGGGTATGGCTTTTGTAACTTGAGTTATTATGAAGCTTTGAAAGTTGAATTTCTGTGTGATGTATGTTAGGTTTGCTTCTTGTAAGATGATGAAAGAAAGTGATATTACTCAATTACATTTGACCTTACTCATTGACTTTTTGGTTTTTATTAAATTAAAGTTTTGCCATTATATTATTTGACTTTTAATTTTTTTTGTAAAATTTAAATTTACGTAGTATGCCTACTTGTTTTCTGCATCATAAGATTTTATAACCTTTTGTTTCATGCAGATGTTTTATCTGTATGGACACATTTTTTATTAGGATTTAATATGTCCTTATTTGTTATTTTTGTACAAACTTATTTGTTAGTACTATAGTTGTGTTTCTGCATGTTTGTTGTTTTATAACAATTTGTTTTGTGTAGAAGTTTGTGTGTGTGATAATTGTTACACCCGGATTTGACATTTTGGAGCTCCCATTTTTCCTTGGATTTGACATCCATGATTTTGACCTTTTTTCGTTCAATATTTTTGACAATTTGTTTGGTTTACCACTTTGTTTTCGTAATTTGTTTGCCCATATTTTTGGACATCAATCATTTGTTTTTGCACATCATGTTCGGAAGTTCGGTGGTGTTGTGCCGATCATGAAGTTGCAATTTCGACTTTTTGTTCAACATTGTTGACGCTTATTTTGGTTTTGCCATATTGTTTTGGTATTTTGTTTGTCCATATTTCTGGACATCAATTGTTCGTTTTTGTGCTTCATGCTCGGGAGTTCGGTGGAGTTGTGCCGATCATGTAGTTACAACTTTTGTTTTGGGTGCTTCATGTCCGGAAAGTCTTTGGTGTTGAGTCGGCCATGAATGTCACGTTTTGGTTTTCGCCAAATTTTTTTGCTGTTTTGACTTACGTCACTACATTTTTTTTGTCGAACTGTTTGTTCTCGACGCCTTTTGTACATCATGTTCGGAAAGCCGGTGGTGTTGTGCCGACCATGATTGTGACTTGAATGAGTTAGTGTCAATTTTGCCACTAATCTCGAACTTTTTGGGGATTTAACTAATAGTACTTGCGACTTTTTAGTATATCAGTACTGGGGTGGGATTTTTCTAGAGTCTGAGACATAGTTGTCTAACAGATCTCCCAAGAGTTGGTAGTAGGAGTAGATTGTAGTTTTCTGTCTGTGACCTAGTTGTCCAACAGACCTTCAGAAATTAATGTTAAGAGTAGTAGAGTAGTAGTTTAAGAAATTTTAGGAGTCTGCGATTTTAATATCCAACAGATCTCATAGGGGTTTAGGTTTTGAAGGAGTTTTAGTTTAGGAAATTTTAGAGTCTGCGACTTAGATGTCCAACAGATCTCACCAGGGTTTAGTTAGAGTAGTTTCAATTTAGAAATTTTTTAGAGTCTGCGACTTTTATGTTCGACAGATCTCAATAATGATGATGATAGTGGTTGAATTTTTTGTAGTAAGCTTTGCATACTTTTATTTTAGAGCATTTTGCTTTAGGTTTTCAATAATTTTGGGTCTGTGACTAAAAAAATAGTTCTAAAAATTTCTCTAAAAATTTAGATCAACAGCTCTTGTTTTGAGACTTGTGACTTTTTGTCCAAGGACTCTATAGTTTGATGATGTTTTGGTATTTGGATAACTTTATTTGAAGTTACTTTCTTTTCACTTTGGGTTTTCGTTTTCATCCATAATTCAACGGATTTCGTTTTGGCTTTTAGTAATTGAACTTTAGCTGTAGTTTCTTCAGCCTCGATTCTCGATGCTTTATTCGGGGAAGGGTGAAATGTAACGTGTTAAAAACGTCACATGGATCTCCTTCGCTCGAAGAGCGAGATAGAAGATTTTTTTGGTTGTCTCTCTGGTCGTTTTTATCTCGCGCCCATTTTCTGTAATCTGTGCACTTTTGAATAATTATGTTGCTAAATTTATCGAGCAGTAGGCTGAATGGACGTTGTTCTCTTTGCCTACCGCCAAGTCAAACTTAAGAAAAGAACTGTCACTTCACTTCACGACCAAAATTTTTACGAGAAACATGTAAAAATCGTAATCGTAATTTGTCACATGATAATTCATTAGATTGTCAATTATTTTTTAATGGTGAGTGTTTTTCCAAATTCGAAAAGTGTTTTAATTCATATATTTCAATGATTTACACTAGGATTCATTTCATTTCTTTTTCAGATGAAACATTTTACATCATTCATACAAAATGGCGTTGATGATGCTTTAAGCTTAATTTAATTGAAAAAACGGTAAGAACCTTAGAGATTCCCTTAGATTTATATTTTTCCTTTGTTGTGAGCCATGTGCTAATCTGAGGAATGTTCGTTTTCAGCGAAAAGCGTTTTTTTTTATATTTGAAATTTTATTTGGAAATCGTATTCAAATCACGATGTTTCCCGTGATGTGGAGGTGAACCCACGGGACCTAACAACGGCCATCCCTTACATATTTGCAACACCAGACATACATAACTCCAAAGATGCAGCAAAGTCGGTAATATTCAAATTTATGGTTGTACCAGCACCCATATTAAAGGTAAATTTTCATTTAATTCTTGGTAGTCATAGTGTAGAATAGTTTCTAAATTTAGCAGTAACCCTTTTGGACGTAAGTAATTTTGCAGTAAATTTAAATAAAATTACAAACCCAAAATGAACATGGATTTGCGTTAAACTCCCTTGCTATTAATAGTCCAATGTTTTCCCGGCTAATATGGTATAATAATGTGGTAGGTCTGGCGCCCGAGTATTCTATTTAATTAATTTCGACCTATCCATTTAAAGTAATTTTCACAACAAACTTTTTATTATTTAATATTACAACATCACTTGAAAAATGGTATAACTTTATGTATTGTATTTAATCATTAAAGTTGTTTTTCACATTATTGTTATTTTTTTATAGCACTTCATATCCTGATACTAAAGAAGGTGATGAAAATATGGATGTGGATGAGGAAGTGGATGGACCAACGGCTTTAGAAGGTGATGACTTTCAATTGGTGCTGCCCTCTGGTGTTGTTGTTGGTCATCGTTCACTTATGAAGTAAGTATATTATCATACTACACTGTCTCCTGCATACATATAATAGTGATAATAATCAATGTTATTAATTAATTATTTCTGATATTACCAGGGAAGTTAGCGATGGTAAGCATTCTTTCAGTCCATACTGAAAGAGACATGAGTAAAAGACAGACCATAAAGTTTTCAATGTCATTAAGGATGTTTTTGTATATTAATACAATTCGAATTGCTTCGAATATACTTATAATTAGGAATTTTCAGCTCTTACTAAGTAGTACTTGGGCACAGTATACCCAGAATAGTATCATACAATACACACACATCAAAAATACATCTTCATAAAAACTGGCCGCTGCCCAAAAAAATTGTACTTGTATAAGAATGAGAATTTTGTTTTGTCTACAATAAAGCTTTCCGAACAAGCAAAAACCGAAGATTTTTTTTCAGTTTTAAATTTATAAGTTTTGAATGAATGCCATGTACATATATAAAAATTAAAAAAAACTTTTATTTATACCTCATTTTATTAACTAGTAAAATATTTCATTTTTATAATATGACTTAAATTCGTATATTTTAAAATACAGTGCTGTACATTATACACAAATATTTAACAAAAAAAAAAAAATCAAAAAACCCGACTGCTTAATTAAACTTCAAATAAAAACTGTAAAGAAAAAAAACAAGTCCAGTAGTCTATAATTCTGTTAATAAGGAACAAAGCTACTTTAACAGTCGGGTGCCATTAGATATTCAAGAATACATAATATTTTTCAACAGTGGGTCCCGACTGTTAAAGTAGCTTTGTTCCTTATTAACAGAATTATAGACTACTGGAATTGTTTTTTTCTTTTCAGTTTTTATTTGAAGTTTAATTAAGCAGTCGAGTTTTTTGATTTTTTAAATTTACCTTTTTTATTTCACACTTTTTAGTTAGTATTATAAGACGGAATTATTAAGTACCTTGCGTCGGTCTAAAAGATTGATTTATTAAGACATATAAAGACTTTACCAGCGGGCTCAAGGCTACAGATTGGCCTCAATTTTCGCAAAAATGTGTGAAGTTAAATCAAGTTGTTACATAAATATCTCTAATGTATGTCAATTTTATAGTAAACTAGCACTTACTCAAAAAGTCATCTTTTGTTTATGTTTTTTTAATAGTTTAGCAGTAAATATAAAATTCATTTACTTTTATTTGTCGACTATTTAAAATTGGCAGTGGCTGCATTGTCATGTCAATGCCGGACGTCTAAGATTGTGATAAACACAAATTCAGTGTCAGTCCCTAGTCTCATAACTTGATATACCTACATAATTCACAGAAACCCAATATGTAGATGCCAGAAGTTAACTTCAAATGTTTTTAATCATCCTATATACAATACCAATCAATGACGTTTAAGTCGCAGGTTGAAGAAAGCAGTAATTCCCGTCTGTTGTTTTGGACAATGGTGGCAACTGCCTTAGATCACTAAATTAAATAATTATGCAATCACCAAAGCAAAGTTTATAATATTTTATTAAACTAAAGGCGCATAATAAAATTTTCATAACGTTAGGTAGAGCACCATAGCAATCTCATTTATTATCAATTTATAGTTTCTCTCTTTGTAGTTTTCTTTTAAAGCGTTCACATTTAACAGGTCAAGGACTTTGTGTTCGACCCTTTTTTATTGGTAGTGTAAAGCTCGAATGAAGAGTACTCCCAGTAGTGCAATCATGGCAATTATTTTCCAATTTTTTTTTGTTTAGATAAATACCGAATAACGTATCACTGTTAAGCACAAATGCTAAGTAACTTTTACAAATATAATCAAATAAACCTATTACTTACTTTATTTTTAAATCTTTTTCATCAATTAAATACTTATCTTATCCTAACTATCTATACTAATATTATAAAGAGGCAAGATTTGTATGTTTGTAACAAATAATCTGTCAAACTACTGAACCGGTTTCAAATATTAATTCAACATAAGGTAGCTACATTATTTATTACAACATTTTTCTTTATTTAAATACATTTTGTCCGAATGTCCGCTATATTTTATCCCGATAAATAAATTTCGCCCGTATAATGCCCGGGTGGATCACTAGTAAGTATAATATAATATTATAGATGCGAAAGTGAGTTTGTTTGTTGCGCTTCCGTGCCCTAATAGCTAAATCGAATATAATGAATTCCCATATAGAAGTAGATGGGAACTTGGTTCTTAGCTACAACATCGCAATACTTAGTAGGGTGATGAAAGGGGTGATTAACCTATAAAAATCTACATTATTTACTTTGAATTTTGCAGAATTATTACAAAACCAATATTATCGCGAGCTGATTAATAAATACACGGATTCCAATAAGTACGTACTTACTAGCGAAAAATGGGTTATTTGTCATTATATTAAGTAAACCTTTTTTGTAACATTAACTAATATCGTTAAAAAAATGAAAAACAGTAAAATTCTGAGTTTTTCATTAAAATTCAATAATCATAAATACCTATTATGATAATATATTTTTCATCATTTTATAAGAAGGAACTGTATCACAGTTTTATTGTTAGTACTTCATATAGGATCAGATACTGCGAATACCCCTTTTTTTTCTTTTACATAGTACACGAGCGCTGTCACTTTGTCATTGTTGTAACTTTTTAAATATTTGTCGAAATGACATAGAGTAAAAAGCAAAGTTTATCGTCTTTAAATATCAAAAGCGATAAAAGTATTTGTTTTGATAAAAAATGATTTGTTAATACAAAATGTGCATTTTGGAAATAGATATCAAATAATATTTTAGTTTTGATTCACTATTTTAGCGGTAATGACTTACACATTAAAAATAGATATATGGTGTCACGGACTTTTTTTTAGAACTATTTAAGAGATACATTTTCACTCTACATTACATTCATGTAACTTTTATTGTTTTTGCAGAGCGGCCAAAATGGCTCGCAGATGGGAGATTTTTTTCCGTCTTATATGACACTTATTGTTATATATTGGCCAATTCACTCAATAACTACATAAATTATTATATATATGTAATTATCATATATGAGCTATATTACTGTTAAGTTTCATTAAAATCCATTCAGTATTTTTTAAGGTGAAAGAGTAACAAAGATCCATACTTAAACATTGAAATTAAAAGCGTAAGTGGTCAATATACAACTTTAAAGCGTTGTAGATCCTAAACAATCATATAAAATGAAAAATGGTGTTAGGAACCTAAATATGATTTTTGATTATCTAGACAGTGATACCCCACTCGACATATTTTGTCAATTTTATTTTTTTACTTCGTCACAATACGGCGCCTAATTTTGCCCATATTAAATTTTGATTACTATCATATTTTTAGTAGCACTCCCATGATTGAGACGAATCGATTGATGTATGAATCAATCATCAAAATCGGTCCAGGCGTTTGGTCTCTAGTGTGCCACAAAGGAACGCGTTTCGGAACGCACCCGGTGAACTTGTCAAAGTGTATCAGCTGTTTTGTAATTTAATTTTAATACAATTTTTCGTGATTTATATTGGTAAAAGTTATTTCACAGTGTAGATTAGGCTATAAATATTATGTAGTATCGTTTTCCCAAGGATAGGATCCTAGATATTTAAATTATTGCACCATCAAAATCGTAACGAACGACCGCCTTGTCAAAACTATACTTGTGAAGAAAAAATTTCGAAGTTCAAGAATTATTCATAAGAAAAACTGAAGGATAAAGGATAAAAGTGTGAACTGCTGCATCATAAACCGGGGGAGTACATTTGTTCCTTATTTTAAATAAGCTAATAAGTAATATTGATGTTTAAATAACTTATGTGTATTGTCATTGTTTTGCTAAGTATCATTTCTTTCATAGCAATTAAGTTTCTCTATAGTTCACACTCAAATAAACGTATGACATTCCACAAACTACTTATCAAAACTCACATACTTAGTGAGTAACGTCACATTACAAAACGAAAAGCCACAGTATACCTCTCTTTGCTTGACAAAAGTGGAAGTAAAGTTTGATGGTGACTAATTTGCTCCAGTCATTCATTGTACTATTACTCTTCACAATCACTACCACTACAAACAATTACCTACTTTTTTTTTTTATATAAGAGAAACTTATTTGTTGTGTAGCCATTTATAATTTATAATAAATAAGCAACGGGGCCATATTAGTAGAATACATAATTAATAACTTTTAATTCTTGAATGAGCTTTCAATAAGTGAATTTGATTAAAGTATAATTTCATTTCAATTAACCCTTGTAACTTAGATAATATTTTTGAGTTTTGTTGGTGTTTAATGAGTGTATGGTTTTAATTTTATAGGTAAACAGACCACCAATAATAGTATCTACCCACCAGTAATAGTTCATTTAATTATAATTTGCTGTGAAAAAGTACTAAATCTAAAAAAATAGTGATAACATTGCCTAATAGCATATAAAACATTTTAGGTATTTATCACCATCATCATGCTGACCCGCAAAGCTGTTGCACAAAACACAGAGATGAAGTTGAGGCAGGTCCTGCTGGAGCTAAAGGAATCGAAGAATACATGTGATCAGCTTCTACGGGAACGTGAAGATAGCGAAATGGAAATCAAAGCTGTTGTTAGTCGAAACTCACAGCTGAAGATTGAATTAGCTGAACTGCATTCACAACATGTAGATGTCATTCAGGAAAGAGACCAACTGAAAAGCACACTTAGTACCTTCGACCAGCAATGCAACACATATGAGAGGGCCCTGGACCGCATCACCGAGCTGGAACGGGAACTCATAGATGCCAACCACCATATTAGTCAACTCGTTCAGCAGCAACAACAGCAAGAAACGGAACATACACTCAGTCTTTTTGAAGAACTGATGGAATCTTCAGAAATACAGTCAGCAAGACAGTCGCTATCCAGTAGCAATAGTATTAACATACCTAGACCTCTAAATTTAGGCAGTAGGAAATTAAAGAAATATATAAAAATTCATAAATTTATTAAGAAAACTGATAG